GATGCCCCCAAAAAGGAACACATCAATGTGGTGTTCATTGGACATGTAGGTTAGTGGAAAGTCTCGTTTGCTGTTTTGAGTTAGCATGTGTGAGTGTGACCGGCACGCATAACAACGACGGCTTTGAGCTTTTTGTCCAAATGTTTAGTTTGTTGGGGCTGTTTTCACTGGTGTATTAGGGCTCCGGTTGTACCCGCTCTGGTTGTTATTTACAAACTAAATCGCACACTTAGTTTCGTACGCACATCAGGTATGGTAAAAATGGGTTTATTACATGGAAGGTGTAGGTTAGCTGATTAATATATGCTGCTTTTCCAGATGCTGGCAAGTCGACCATTGGAGGACAAATCATGTGAGTAGTAGTCTCCTTTTTTCTTTAGGTGAGTGAAGTTGCTTCCATCACATCGTGCCTTTGACATGTTCCTTTCATGTACCACAGGTATCTGACTGGCATGGTAGACAAGAGGACCTTAGAGAAATATGAAAGAGAAGCCAAGGAAAAGAACCGGGAAACCTGGTGAGTGGATGGTCTGCTGTGTCTGCATCAACATGGTGGTGTTGTGTGTCGAGCACATCGTAGAAACTGACTTGCTGAGAGTGACCACGAACACAGTAGCACTTTGTCTCAGGTTGTTTTTTTATTTATTGAAACTATCTTCAGGTACCTGTCTTGGGCTTTGGACACCAACCAGGAGGAGAGGGACAAAGGCAAGACGGTGGAGGTTGGCCGAGCATACTTTGAGACAGACAAGAAGCACTTTACCATCTTAGATGCTCCAGGTCACAAGAGCTTTGTGCCCAATATGATCGGAGGCGCATCACAAGCAGACCTGGCTGTGCTGGTGAGTCCAGGAAATGAGCAGTGTTACTGAACTTACCCCCGAGAAAAACACCAGAAAGTACAATTGTAATGAATTCCCTGTAGTTTACCTTTGAAATCAAATGCAGACGCTTGAGTGTATGTCAGTGCAGCTTAACGCTAAACTGGAAGTCGGCGTGTAAGTCTGCTACAGAGAGCTGTTGGTTTAGAGTGTGTGTGTGTGTGTGTGTGTGTGTGTGTGTGTGTGTGTGTTACAAGGACTAATAGTATAGCTGAGACTACTAACTGCGCTGATTGAGGATCTTT